ATGGCTTTGTTTCGACGCCTTATCTCCTCCGCCTTATATTATGCTGTTTGTGCTTGTTTTGGGCTCCTTATCTCCACTTTATGGTGTTTTGGTTTGTTTTTATGTGTCGGCGTTTATCTTCACCTTTTTTGTTTCTACGCCTTTTAATCTCCGTCTTATGTCATGTTGTTTGTCTGTTTTTCTAAGGCTTAATTTTCACTTCATAATATTTTCTATTTTTATCTTTGACACCTTATCACTCTTATTATTGGCGTTTGCTTCTGTGCCTTCTCTCCAAGTCATGGTTCTTTCTTTGTCTCTGTTTCAGAACCTTTCCCCTTTATATTTTGTTTTCATTTTGATGTTTTATCTGTTCCTCATATCACAGTGTTTACCTATTTTGCCATGCCTTATCTACGCCTCATGTCACGGTTGGATTTGTTCCGACATGGCGTCTCGAGCCTCGTATTATGTTTTCCTTTGTATTATATGTTTGTCTTCGTTGTGATGCCTTATCTCCGCCTCATATCATGTTGTTTGCCTTTGTTATCATGCCTTATCTTCGCCTTATGATGCTTGGTCTCGTTCCGAAGCCTTATCTCAGCTTCATATTATGTTGTTTGACTTTGTATTAGTATTTTTTTCTTCATTTGGATGCCTTATCTCCGCCTCACATTATGTTTTTTGCTTTTGTTATGTTTTTTTTCTGTTACATTATGTTGTTTGCCCTTGGTACACTGTCTTATTTCTGCAAAGTATTATATTGTTTACCTTCCTTTTCTTGCCTTTTCCTCACCTCATGCTATGTCGATTTTGCCTTCGCTTCCACGCCTTATCTCCACCTTCAGCCATGTCATCAACCCCGACGCCATATCTCCGCCTCGCGTTCAAGAGTTCAAGACCTAACGCGCAATCCCTCCGCCGTCGCTGCAGGTCTTATGATCATCATTATTGCGAAAAAAAAACCGTCGTTGTAATGGGTCGTTCCCGCTCTCTCGCAAGGGAAGTGGCGGAAGTGCGGGGGGGAATAAAGAGCTCCCTGGGTGATGAGCACATCCGGAGCAGCGGTGTTACCTAACGTTTCCGGGGGTGGGGGGGGGGGGGGGAGCGCAAACGTTTCTCAGTGGGAAGGGAGAAACAGCGGGGAAAGTGGCGGAGGCGGG